ACAATGGGCTGTTAAAAACTACACTGAGAGCAACGGGTGGGGGAACTTTCAAGCATTGGGATACACATTTACCAAAGGCCACCTGGTTGGTCAACACCAGAGGATCTGCCAACAGGGCTGGCCCAGCCCAGTCAGAACTTTTATATACTGTAGAAGGGGATAAAGTTCCTGTGGTGCACATAAAGAATTTGCTGGGGAAGACAGTCTGGGTTGTTCCTGCTTCAGGTAAAGGCAAACCCACTTGTGGGATTGCTTTTGCTCAGGGACCTGGATATACTTGGTGGGTAACTCGGGAAGATGACAAAGTCCGATATGTACCTCAAGGGGTTAGATTTTAGGGGAAAACAGCCAATGAACCCGATTATATGCTATTGCCTGCTATGTAGCCCTTTTATAGCCCACCAACTAGATGTCTTCAGGTCACCGGCAACTGGCCTTGACTTCCCTCTGATCATCATCCAACAAAGAATGACTAAACCAGACCAGCTCAGCAGTGACCAGACGGGTTCCACGGTGTCATCAGCATGCAACAATCCAACACTGCATACCATCTCTCCTGCTCTGAAAGACTGTTAGAAGAGATGAAACACAACATCATGGACTGGGTGAATTCAGAAGCCTTATAGGGATTGGTCTATGGACTAAGGAAAGATACCTCTCTCTCTCTTTGTGTGTGTGTGCATGTGTATGTATATACACATATGAGACAAAAGCAATAGTATATTGAAAAATGTGGGATCTGAGCATGATGTGAATGGTGTGGAATAAGGGGTGGATACTGTCCTGGGTTCAGCAGTAGCAGTCATTTTTCTCCTTCTTAGTAGCTGGTGCAGTGCTGCGTTTTTGTCTTTCAGCCTGGGAACAGCGCTGATAACACCAATTATTTTAGTTGCTGCTAAGTCACGTTTAGTCTGACCAAAGACTTTCTGAGTCTCATGCTCTGCCAGGGAGGAGGGGAAGCCGGGAGGAAGCAGAGACAGGACACCTGACCCAAACTGACCAAAGAGGTATTCCATGCCACAGCATGTCATGTTCAGGATTTAAAACTGGGGGCAGTTACCCAGAAGGGCTAGATCACTGCTCAGGTCGGACTGGCTATCTGTCAGCAGGTGGTGAGCGGTTGTATTCTCTTCCCTTGTTATTTCCCTTATCATTATTATTATTGGTGGTAGCAATAATGATTTTGTGTGACACCTTAGTTACTGGACTGTTCTTATCTCAACCTGTGGGATTTATAATCTTTCGATTCTCCTCCCCATCCCTCCAGGAGCTTAGGGAGGAAGAAGTGTGGGGGGAGTGAGCAAGCGGCTGCATGGTTCTGAGTTACCTACTGGGTTTAAGCAGCAACAGTTATTCATTAGATTTGGATGCAATTTACTGCACTAGACTAGTGAAGAACCAGCCAGCTTGTACTGAATAGAAGTATTTGTATAGCTGCAGTAGCTGCTTCACACTGACTTATATATTCCGTATTTCTGAAAATGTAGGTCTTGGAGGAAAGGAGGTGCTCCACTGCCAACTTGATATCTCAGGGAGAATGCAGCAATCCTTGCCTTCGAAGGGCTGACAAATCAATTGAAAATTTATGGGAAAGAATTAGAAGACAAACCAACGCAAATGATGTCATAGTAGATCCTTCATCAGAGTAAACAGTACTTAGCAACAACTAAAAACATCAGTTTATCAGCGTTGTTCCCAGGCTGAAAGTCGAAACCGCAACACTGCACCAGCTACCAAGAAGGAGAAAAATGGCTGCTACTGCTGAACCCAGGACAGTACCTACCAGAGACTGTTTGATCAGGAAGATGAAGTCTACAAAGTCTTCTTTAAGCAACTGGAGGAGGAAGCCTCATGGTTGCTGGCCCCTGCCTTCAGGGAACCACCTGACACATGCTCAAAAGACAACATTGTTTGGTACAATATTGCAAAATGAGTGGTTTAGGGTCGCTTAAAGAATGACCAGCAAAGGTATAAGGAACAGCAGTTTTAATATGATTTATAAAGGCATGACTTAACAGAATTTGATGGCAGGTTCACTCTATTACTGATTACATAGATGAAGTATACAAAGGAAAATCAAGGTAAAATCGAGCTAAAGGTGATTGATACAGACACTGAAGACAGTAAGGGCAAGTGGGACCCTCCCACTGAATCATGAGATTCAGATCAGACACCTTTGCTTTCTAAACTGTAGATGGAGTCCACGTGTGGCTGGATCTAGTCTTAGTCTTAGACTTGGTCAATGATGTTCATCTAAGGGGTTACAAATATCAGTTAGCAGCAGTTTGCAGTTTTAAGGTGGATCTTATAAATTGAGTCAATAGAATTTAATACAACTGCTATAACAATCTGTACACACACCCATACATAAAGACACATAAAAGTATACCTGTTAAAAATTCCAGTTGAATCAGTGCAGTATTCACATCTAATGTCTCAGTATTTCTCAATGGGTGAAGGTCAAGGAGTGGATGACTTCAGTTCAGATTCCATCTTTCAGCAACAGCCTGACAGTCCTCCAGTTATCACAAACTTGAGAGTTTGTGAACTTTGAGCAGTGTCCCTCAGTCAAAGCATGCTTTACCACCCAATTCATCACATAAAGGACAGGGCCTCTCAGAAACTCATGAGATAGAGGAACAGCCCAGAGGATTGGAAGGAGGAGGGAGGGGAGTAGTAGGGAGAAAGTTACACCACCACACACAAGCAACCCAGGACATTTCTGCAGTGTTGACAATACCGAGTCAATGCAGGTGATCAAGAATCAAGCTAGATAAGATAGTCTGCTGCTTCTGATACACACAAGGAGGAACTGGTTGGAAATGTAAAGATCAAGGATCTCAGCTGCAATGACCATGACACTGTGGACTTTAGTATCTTCTTCGAATTGTATTTTCAGAGTGGATTGCTTCAATAACAAGATTAAAATCTCTTAAACCATTACAGAGATCAAGGTAACAGGTATCTGCCATTCCTAACACAGATAAACCTTTGAGTAAGATGAGGTACTTCATCACTGTGTTTCTTAGATTTTTGCTGGTGGCAGAACGAAAAATACAAGTCAGGAATGCAGATTCTGTTCCAAACTCACTAGTCACCTCTGAATTTTAGCTCTCCAAATAAGAAATTCAGCCCGTGTTAGGCACATGAAATGTAAATTGTTTAGACTAAATAAAAAGAAATTACCAAATTTATGGGCATCAGAAAATAAATTAGTGAAATAAGAAGTCTTAGACAAAAAATAATTAAAAATGCCACCACCTTTATTTGTAATACCACACCTTGCTCATCTCTCATCACAATATTTCAATCACCTCCCTGCTCAGAGGATAAAGAATGTTTTAGGGTTTCAAGCTTAGTCCACCTAAACCACTGAAGCCATTTAAATGAATGGAAAAGGCCATTCAGCAAGAAGAAAAGATGTCTACTACAACACTTGTTAGAAAAGAGCTGCTAAGAGTCCAGTACTAATAAGACTGAATTTTTTTGAAAATTAAATTCCACTGCAGACAAGAAAAAAACAGAGAAGGACTGGAAGGAAAGGTAAAGGCCTAAAGAAATATAAGCAATGTTTAGTAAATATTTTTCCTTGACTGAACCTGAAAATGGGTTCCTTGTGTTTTAAAATGCAGTATACTATGTAGTACTATTCACAGCACTCTGAACTAGTTGTTCCAGAGACTCGGGAAACTACTATTAAACTTCTTAGGAAGTTTTATAAACCAACTAATAAATGACATAGTACTTCAGACATTAATACACACAATTTTGTAGCATACCACCATATCTGTAGTAATGAACAATAAACAAACATATTAAACCCCAAATGTTAATATCCTAGTGATTACAATATGTAGAGCCCAAACCAAATTTTAGTGAAAGCAATTCACTAAATTTTCATTGACAGTCACAGGCACGGATCAGATAATTCTTGCACCACAGCAATGCTCAGAAGAGGTCATGGAGATATAATATTCTTTCTGATGTTTCCAAACAGCAGACCAGTCAGTGTGATCAAAAATATCTGAGAAAGAGAAAAGGGTGCATTAAAAACAACAAAGAAAGTGTTGACACTCACTCATGACTGAGTCAATATGACTGCTAACCTGGCTTCTATGACTGACAGTGCAGACAGATATAAAGGAGAATGACCAGGACATGCCAGAAAATACAAGCTGAATTCTTTGCTGTGGTACAGGCTTGCTGTGTGACCTCCAGCAAGCCACATCCACAGAAGTATCTTGAAATCTATTTTAAGTGGCATATAATTCAGTTATGTATCAAGTTTTTCAGTGCTCTATGAATCCAAATACGTTTTGACTCAATGATCTTAAAGATCTTTTCCAACCTAAATGATTCTATGATTCTTGCTCTTAACCTCTTGAATGGTGATAATAGTTCTTTCCCATCTGACTAGAAGGTGTCAATGATAGTACACTGAAGAAGATCATGAGACACTCATGTACTTCGCTAGTACATGTCGATGATAGTACACTGAAGAAGATCATGAGACACTCGTGTACTTTGCTAGTACATGAGTGCAGTATTTGCTTGTACTAGTGGCTAGTACAAGTATGAATAAAAAATATTTTTATTACTGAACTAGCCCATCCAATAGCTGTAATGTTTTTATTACATACTTCTGTGGGAAGGTACTACATATGGAAGAGGTAAAATAGGACATACTTTTAATTCTCTGAGTAAAAATGAACTAAACTCATTTTCAACCTCACAATTCTAGATATTATCAAAAATCTTTCTGCCTGCTCGATGGTACTCAAACATCAGGGTGTCTGTGGAGTAAATGATCAGTTCTTATTGCCATTATCAATATGATTTTGGTTTTATATTGATTTATTCCTTTTCACCCAATAAAATTTTCTCACAGATATGTGTGGGAGGAAGGATTTTCATGATTTTGTAATTTGATTTAACGCATTCATGGACTAGGTTCTGTACAGGTACAGGACAAAAGAGGTCTTTTGCTCCACAGATTTTACATTTTCTGTAACTGCTTCCTGTCCTTGCAATGCCATTTGCTTTCACAAGTCAGGTCAAACATTTCATTCAATAAGCTTTGGACACCAACATCTGTGATGGTGCTTGAATATATGGGAGTTTGTTGGTAAACGGTGCTTGATCTTACTTCTACTTAAAATTGATGGAAAGCTTTACAAAATTTTGGAGAGCGTGCCAAAGCCAAATGGCAATGATTTGACTTTTACTCCCAGCAGAATATCAGTATTTTGTGGGGTTTTTGCTTAAAAGTACTCTTACCTGTGTAATTAGCAGGCTGACAGTAATTGCAGTTAAGATCAAAACATTGTTTTCAAACCATGTGTTTAAATGTTCTTCACATCCCTAAGCAAGTACAGATGAACAGATTTCAAGAAAAAATAATTTCAACTTTGGAATACATATTGCATCTTTATAAGAGCATATTTTAAAAATATATAGAATAGGACTTTCTACATGTTATGATGGGTTCTAATATTTACTTGCCAGAAAGTAAATAGATCAGTAACGTGTACTACAGAGAGTTAGCTATAGCATTTTTAAAATTATCTGAACTGAACAGATAATACTTAAGAATATCTGATATTTATGGAAATCTGATATGGAAATGTTCCAAAGCTTGTGAATTAATCAAAAGAGAATTTGTTTTTGTGAGAGTCTACTGAGAGCTTACCTTACAAGTAAATGCGTGAAAGAATATTTTCAAGTTTTCACAGATTCTCATGCATTATGCATCTTGAAACGCATGTGCATGTTTTTCAGATCACAGTCTATGCCTATAGTATTGCTTTTTAAACTGAATTATAAATCTTTATATAGATTAAAATAGCTATAAATAAAACAGATGCTTTCTATACTTTGAAGTGATCTTTAATAATTACGAGGGTTTGTAGAAAGGGAACAACTCAAGACTGATGAGCAAAGGGAGACAATACCAGATGTCATTTGATAACATCCTTTCTATTATTTACTCTCTTACACTGTCAAGAAACAACCTGTGCCAATTGAATTTGTGTTCTCATTGGATAGTCCTATTAACATGTGAGGGTATATTGAAGAAAGTAGTATGTATCACTGGTTCTTTTATATAAAGAAATGCAAATGCTAACATGAACTGGTCTTGGGAAACACATCTCATTTTTCAATGCCTTGCTCATTCCTTTTGTCCTGTAAAGTATTGGAGGTGCTCTGGAAACAGATAGTACAAACAGATGGAGACATTGCTGACACTCTGTAAGTAATGAATAGTAATTACAAGTGGAAAATGTACTGCATATTTTTATATATGGCCACTTCCCAATGTCATCACTGATTTCCACAGCATGAATTTCTGAATGCCAAGATGTTTCTTGCTTCATAAACTGCTACTAAATGTCCCCATGTAATACTGATCAGGCATAACTTCTGTTTTCTTGAAGTATCCTTAATCTAGAACTGACTACATAACTGACACTTAACAAGTAAAAAATAAGTCTTCAGAGTGACCAAAGACACACACACAAAAAAAAAATAAAGAATATTATCAATACATCAATACTTTGGCAAGTGGAAAACATGTTTTGAGGTTTGGTGGGGTTTTTTTGATTGGTTTTGTTGGTTTTTTTTCAAAGTCCATTTTAGTAGTAAAAGTTACATTCATCAAGAGAGGTATTCTATTTCTTACCATGCGGTACATTGAACCCTTTGGGACATCACAAAACCATTTCTTCAGACTGGATTTTGTGCATGAACATGGGATCAGAGTACTGTTTTCCTTGTTTTTATTCCTTTCCCACTGTGTAACATTGTATCTTCCACAGCATTCCATCTAGAATAGAAGTACTGTAACTTGTTAACTACAACACCTATAAAGTCTGTCATATAGAGGAATTTCCACCCCAATGAGTGCTATCTATTAGTTGATTAAATTAGCTAGATAGTTTCTCTCTGCAGAGAGGGCTGGAGCTAGATGATCTTTAAGGTCCCTTCCAACCCAAACCATTCTATGACTCAATGATTCACCCTTGTGTATCCACCATTTCCTATTATATCCACTGGGTAGCATAGACTTAACAATAATATGATCTTAAAATATGCTTTTGAAAGGAACCTCCTTTTAGACATTTGGAACATAAGTAAATATGAAAAAAAGAAAAAAAAACCACAAACCCAGATTAATGTAAAATATTTTTACAATCACCCTTAATCTTCCAAAGTAATTCCAGTGTAGAAATTGTGTGTAAGCAGTAAACTATATTAAGGATATGCTCACTGTGGAATATTACAAAATGAAAAAAGAAAACTATATAGGAAACAAAAATAATTAATGTTATTTCATAATCAATGTGATAAATCCGGGGACATTTTAATAAAGCATATTTTGAATATAAAAATAAAACCATATACACTCTGGTTTACTCTGGTTGAGAAAATTAAATAAAGACCAGATTTTGAAAACTTTTAGTTTTTTGTTTGCTACTTCTAATGTTGTATATGCAAAAACTCTCTGCTATTATCAAAAGATACTATGCCCTGTTCAAATGGATTATCAATTAGCACTTCCCAATAATCTATTTCAATCCCAGTCACACCAAATAAAACCAAATCACCAAACAGCATTCCGTGGAGAACAGAATTCTTCTCATGTAGGAAATTCCAGCAGTTTTTCATTCTGAATCAGGATAAAACTTCAGAAATATTTGCATTGTTTTATGGGATGGAAAGTCTGTCATATTTTAGCTCAGATTATACCAGCACATAGTCTAGCTGCACCACTGACATAATGGAGTCACCATTAATCACTCAAGAAATCATGAATGCAATGAGACAAGACTGGATTTTCAAAGAACATACATTACAAATACATTTGTATTCTTGAATCTAGACATACATGCTTTGTGTGTTAGCTGGAATCATAAATTATCTTCAACATTTGTCAAGAACTGTGTAATTCACCTCTGCAAGAAGTCATGTTAAGGGATTCACACCTGATCTATAGAAATATATTAAACCATATTTAATTGCTAAACTGCAGTGTTTATTATTAAAAGCTCATGATGCAGAATTAATTTGCAGGGTGGATAGCAGGCCACAGCCTACTGGACAAAAACATTGCCAATAACTTTCAAAATAACTGATCCCAAGCAAGTGCATTAAAGGACTTTTCTGAAATAGGAAACAAATTACATGTTGCCAGGCCACAAAAATTATTATGATTAATAATTAAGAATGTGTGCTGACAGTATTGATCTACAAACTCATTTGAGGCTTTAAGCATTACTTCTGAGAGAGTCTCAGTGCGATACCTATTCAAATGCTCTGCAGTAGGAGCTCTGGTCTGACATCATAGTATCTCTGTCCATGGTTCAGGTCAGTCCTGAGGCCTAAAGCAGACCAAGTGTTTTATGATACCTAGAGCTGCTGAAGATATTAGAAAACACTTTTTTTTTTTCAGCTGCAGTAAACTTCAGTGACCAAAACTGTCTGCCCCTAGATAAATTTACAAACCTTTCAAAGTCCTAATTTCATCCATAATAACCCACATAACAGCAAAGAATCTGCCTACCCACATATTAGCAGACTATCTTGAAAAATTCATCCTTCACTAAAGGAGTTGTTTTTTTAAAGTAAGTTCTAATTGGTATACACATTTTGGCTGTATTTTTGGTGGTGATAATTTATTGGATTTTTCCTTACATTGTGCTGCACAGCGTTCAGAATGTTCCACACAGGTTCCTGCTCAGCCAGACTCTTGTTCCCATATTCAGAAATAACTTCATCAATTCTGTTGTTCCATTGATTGTGGACCTGTTTATTAATATTTATAGAATTTAAGAGATGCATATTGAAAGAGTGTGGATGGATAGTACAATCTTTGATCTTTCATTGATACTCAGGTTTCTTCAAGGGTTACTTGCAAGTGGCAGCATTGTAATCAATTTGACAAATAGGATCTGAAACATGTCATAGCCATTGCACTAATAGGAAAGTTGAAAGCAAAAGGGGAAGATAAATGAAGTGATCCAAATCACAAAAATAACACAGTCAGACACAAGGTGATTAGCCTAAATGGAGCCAGAAGAGACAGGGAACATAGTCAAGATGCACCTGATCTGTCTTGAAATACTAAATCCTACCTGTCATACTTATTTTTAGTAAGCACAGCACCCTACATTAATAAGCAGAAAACCAAAATTGATTCTATACCTGGTGTGATACACACTTGTGTGAGCACCATACAATCTGGCCAGGACATGTATTGCTTTGGGCTAGGAAAGTAAGCAGTTCATGTTGTCCATAGATTAGGGTCTTTGCAGACACTGTTAAAATAACCCTTCAACAACAATTGGAGTGGACAAGCTAATCAGACATAGAGGGTGCAGCAGGGAATGCGTGTAGAAAATAACTCCTAGGCTACTGGAAGGAATCATTACAAAACAAGAAAAAATGTGGTTTCTCTAACTCATTCCCCTTGGTACAGTCATCCTAAAAAAAAAAACCTCAAAAGCTTGCTGAATGAATGATGTTACCATAATTTATTATACTTCAGCAGCACTTAATTAAGGTTGAGATCAAGTGCAATTACAGCTTATATAAAATAAATTTAACTGCAATCTTTCAACCAATTTTCCTAGCACAAATAGCTGACTCCAGAATGCATCACTGCTGACAGTTCAAATCCTTCACCATGTAAAACCATCATATAAAACAGGGAAGACATCACTATAAATTAACATTTAATAAAAAATCTTGATGAAAAAGATGCATTTTGATGGAGTAAAACTTATTTATTTCTGTTGTTCTGACTTAATACCATCAGGATTTGGAGAACTGTATGAACCTTATGAGACTGGTGTCACAGGAGGTTTTCTCAAACCATAGATTTTGGAATTATGTAACAGGAAAGCAGCCAGACCAGTATGAATTCAGTACCAATTGCCTTTCATATAATACTGTGAGGATTCCTTAAGCTATTAGACTTGCTATATGTAGAAAAATAAATGTCTGAATAAAGCTTCAAAGCAGTACAGATACTATTAACATCCATGTTGGTATTTATGTTTGCTTCCTGTTGTTAAAAGCAAAGATACATATTCCTTATACTAGAGCTCTATCGAAACTAAAATACAGGCCTACAATTCATTAGTATACTTTTCATCCCATGATACAAATGACTCCTACTATCAATTGCAAAGCAGCCTACAGTTATGACCTGCTAGGAGATACAGGTTAGCATCTAATGCTTTCTTTTACCTCTGCTGATGTCCAGGAAAGAGGGACTTTCTGGGTCATCCCTCAAAGAAGAATAAAGCTGTCCCTTACACTGTTGATTCCACATTCCTGAACAAGAGAGTATGTTTTGTTGCAGAGGATAAACTGGTAATATGTTTCCATGCCCACCCATTTACAACTACTGAACCATGATGAATTCCTCAAATTAAGTTTTCTACATCTTCTGCTATACCTGGTCAACATATAGAATAGTCAAGTTCAAGCAAACAGTGATACAGCATAGAGTGAGAACTGACTATTAGAATGTTTTTAATTAACTGCAAGAAACTATTTTGAAATTATCATCAGTTTCATGTAGTTTATTTACATACCTCTTCTTTCTTTGCAAATATAAGCAGCAGTATTGCCATATGGGTAACAAACACTAGGACTTGAAAACTCATATACTGGGGAAGAAAAACAAACAGAAAAAGAACTAAGTTATGGATAAACATAATATTGAGTATTTCAATAAAAAGTCCCAGGAGCTCATGGATGACTCATGACTTCATGACTATTATTTAGAGTCATTTGAACAAAAGTAAGAAACATTTTTTTCCTGGAAACCCTCAGAAAGTGACATCATAGTCCAAGAGGCAGGCTTCAGGCAAAGCACAACTCACTGATTTGGGCTTAAAGACAAAGTCATGACTTGCAAGTGAAGAACAAAAGCTGTCCTTAAGCAGCTGTGCTCCACTGAAGAAAACTCATTTCATTCTTTTCTCTCTGAATTACCATGGTAGTTAAGTCTCATGCCTAGTTAAGGACTTTTTTGAGCTATAAGATGCCCAAGCAAAAGAAAATAATAACTGATTGCATTATTTTTCAGTGAGATGCTGAGACACTAGATACTTCCATGGAAATTGGAAATGAGACAGTTTGTTCTCTTTCATCAATTAATAAATTGAGGGAAACGGGGCAGTAGCAGGACAGAAGAAGGCACAAGAGTCCTTGTTATAGCATCAGGGCTCCTCTCACAGCTGTGCCAACTGATATTTGTAGTGCTTAATAAATGAATCAGTAGAACAGTTCTCTGCTTTAGCCTTCACATAGTCTAAAACAGATTGCTCAAAAAGGGTAACAATAAACAACAGACAAAAATATAATCAAAGTGACCATGAGAATGTATAATTACCATGTAATTTTTCAGAAGTCAAGATCTTATTCTCTTAAAAGCAGAATTATATATAAAGGTAGGCCTACATGGGTAACAGCTTTCCAATCATACTCTGTTTTCATACTGCAGCCATAATGTAGCTACCTGTGCCATCAACCTGCAATATTTTGGGGCAGGTTTTTCTTTATTTCTTCAGCATATACTAAGCACATGAGCACATACTGAGAGAAAGTTAGTCTGCATAATTTCAGTACTAATTTTAAAACCTCTAACTTAAAAAAATACAGAGGTTAAAACCTTTGCTATTTCAAATTGCAAGTGCTCTGACATTGAAAACAATCATCCAGTGATATGGAAGGATATTCAGTTTTGTTCAGATTTCATTTGAACTGGGACCTTGTCTGAAAATATCTTTGTATCTGCAGATTTCTTAAGGACTGTATGTGGAAATCACATTATCAAGACAGTATTACAATTTTCATGCACACAAAACTCCCCTTCATTTTACAAGAAAGTTGGAGTCTGATCTACACTTACTGTAACTAGTAGACATTTGACTTCCACAACACTTCCAAGTAATCCCATGGCTGATGTAAAAGTAATAACAGATACAATTCCAAGTAATATATAGGAAATAAATGCCGCTAGTTGGTTCTTGCCTGAAGAAACTGTAACACAGTACATTCATACTGTTACTTTTCTTTTTGAGACTTCACTTACAAAACTTATTCCAGAAAAAGAATAAAATCTTTGCAATGCCGTTACTGAAAGTGTGGAAATAGCAGAATGGTGAAAGGATATTATTATTACTTACGCTATGGACAGTCAGAGAAAGAAATAAAACATATTTTCATAAATGTAGGCAATGGTAAGAACATATAAGATGTAAACAGAACATATTCAACTAAACAATGTGAACCACTCACAATGAAATCAGAGAACAATTACAAGTTTGCAGATGTTTCTTTCCATTTGGCAAAAAATTAGTAGCACATGTACAAATACTATGCAGACATATAGTTCTCATTAAATCCAGACTCGGATTCAGTGCTAACCTCCATCTTTGTGATGAGCCACTTTCCCCATTCCGCTCTAACCATTTTTTATTAGATATAGAAAGTAGCAGGAGGTTTCATTACTCCCATCTCAAATGCTTCATATCAGAATTACTATGTTGGATGGTTCCCATATTATCAATTGGGAACTGATGTTCCTTGGCATAGCCAAGGCAGACAGCTCATTGAACATCCCAGCTGTGGTTATGTGACCCAAACCTTACTTCTTTGTGAAACGATTTGCTAAGACACTCTGGGAAAAAGGAATATCTATATGGAGAGACCCAAGCTCCAACCTATGTTTATTCCACCCAAATATCCAACTAAAAGATCTAATGTCAAGAGAAAAAAAAACAATTTCAATCCAATACTGCCACCTTGTGAAAAAAAAATTATTCTGTCACTGTTTATGTTATCCTACAATCATTTGAAACAAAAGAAAAATTCTATTTATACTCACATAACACACTGAATAAATTGTTTCTGTCAAATAAAAGCCACAGGCCAAATGTCAAAAGCATAAGACCCAGAGCCTGGAGAAAGAAAAAAAAAAAAGAAAAAAAAGGAGAAAAAGCGTTATTGTTTTAATTAAAAACATTTAAAAAAAATAATTTGAAGCTTATAAATAAGAAAAAGAAAACAGAAATTTTACCAAGAAAATTCCATTGAAGACATTTAAGTAGTACTTCTGAATAATTATTTTATCTTTTATTTTCATTCTTCTGTTTTCAGTTTTGAATCACAGCTGAAAAGATAATTATATATTTAGTTCAATATGAAACAGATATAACTAAGCTTATCAATTACAATGGAATTTATTTCCTTCAGCTAATGTTTTATAAATTTACACAGTCACCTCATACATTGAACAGAAAAATAGTATCAACAGTAGAAGCATCAAGATGGTGTCTGGTCTCAGTTGCCTCTGATGTTACACTCTACAACATGTATTTTTTTTTACCTTTTTTTTTCACCTTTTTTTTTCTTAACTGCTAAAGGCATTTGAAGACAACATGTATGTGTCAAGATTTATATTGCAGAGATGACAAGAGTTACATAGTCTGGAATACACTTTTGCTTATACATTTCAATATACTTAGTTTACTAATTATTAAAGATACCAGCTGAAATGAAGAGACATAACCATAGTAAAGACATAAGCTCTCATTTTTTTAAGTGACCTAATTCAATTTTTGCTGAAAATAGCAGATACAGCCTAATTATTTCAGTGTGATTTAGCACACAGTTCTAGCAAAGCTGTAAGAGCTGTCAAACTGTGCTACTGCCTTGTACTAATCTGGGGTACCCTTTACACTTTTGAAGTGAATCTCCTAGTCACTCTGCTTACTTTTTTCCTCTGTTTTTGTTTTTTTTTTTAATTGTGGAATGCAACAGGATGTGAAAATTTAAATTCCTTTCAAATGAAACTGAACCAAGAAATGCACTTCATCTGTCATCAACAGCAAGTCAATGGAAGGGCAAGCAGAGACCCTGCCCACAACAACTGCCCTGAAATACATGTAAAGTGTGCATTAGACCCTGAGTATCATCCAAGAATCACCCTTGCAAATGCTTGCAAATGTCGACAGGGCCACAATAAAGTCACATAGGCATTCATATCTTGAGCATAATTTAGCATATTTCAGCGTGGAAGACCCCTAACACTGTAAACTCTTTGATGCAGGATTTCTTTTTATATACATATATATCATTATTGATATTGTGATCATCATAGCACCGTATCTTCTGGGCCTCTCAAGCTTTTTGCAGAGAGAGTGAAACTTGTACTTGCCTCACGCTCCCTTTCACCTGTCTTGCCTCTTCTCTAAACATACTCTAGGATTTTAGTCTGCCTGGCTTTGTGGTACAAGCTGAGGGGAGTCCAAGAGCAGCAGTGTTACAAGACTGCAATGGCAGCCATCTGCAGTTGTCCTGCACTTCTCATGTGTTAAGCAGGCAGGCACAGAAGCATGCATAGACACATGAATGTAACCAGCACAGGCATAGTCTCCAGAAAATATTTTCTAATGCAAAGGGATTTGTTTGAAAGGAATAGTTCTTGTCTTCTGTCAGAATTACTATGGATTGATTACAGTAAGAAGTTACATCTTCTGTTCTTTGCAAAACAGAAAAAGAATAAAAAAGACAGAGATGAAATTTCTGCAGTCAGAAAATATCTTGTGTTAACAACCTATTTTACATGTAAAACATATGTTACGTATGTATCAAATTTGTTGATTAGAAGATTCAGCAAACACAAGCTTTGCCTGCCCTGTCAAGATCCTCATGCCTGGATTCTGAATAGTCTGTTGCAGAAATGTAGAATGAAGAAAGCTGTAAGATTCTCAAACTAGCTCTGTAGTGAGTTTGGGTCAGTAATACATGATGTAAACTTATGGACTGTATTAGATAACTGGTCTTGCACTTTCCCAGAAGAAGATCCGCTATGTTAAAGAGTAATAAAGGTTCATCAGAATTTTCAAAACCATCATGTGTTAAAACATTGGTGTGATGTGTTGTCCAAATAAAAAGCCCTCAACAGTATTTCACTTGAATACTGGCATCTGCAATAGTTTCTGTTGAAATAACTGCAGTTTCTATGCTTTGTTTTGAGCCATTTTAATAATAAGTCAGTTTATCTTCAATAATTTATCTGAAAAACAGAAAAATTAACTTTATAAAATTATTTACATTTTACATTACATTGTTGCTTCACACTAAAAATCCTTATCAGCTCTGAATATTTCCATCCTACCTTAAAGAGAACAGTCTCATAATGGTATGTTTCTTTCTGAAGTCCCACTTAACCACATCCTTACAGCAGAGAAGTTTTCTTCTGTTGATCAAGCCCTGACTTCCTGGTTACAGGGAACAGGCCTGCAGAAAAAAATCTTTTTCATTGGCAAAGTTGTTTGCTAAAGGCATGACATAGTGCCTGTGGTCTTCAGTCACCATGATTACAGCCTAACTTGCACTTACAAAACAAATACTAAGTGCACAGTCAACTCAGTGCTTGAAGGCTTAACCACATTGAAAAGTTCACTGATTACATAATTCTGTAAAATACAGGACATTTCAAATGGATGAGTTTCCACTGTTTTAAAATTTATATATCTTACTCATCCATAACACTGATGAGAAATTGATAAACAGTTGCCCTTGAATCCAGTATTCTGAGGTTAACATCCACAAGTCTTTCAGAAAGGTCCTCAGTTTATTTTAAAGACAGTAGATGGAAAAAAAACCTGCTATCATAGACTCATCATAAAATCATAGATTGCTTTGGGTTGGAAGGGACCTTAAAGATCATCTACTTCCAATGCCTCCTGCCATGGTCAGGGACACCATCCACAGCTTCTTTGGAAATGCTGTTCCAATGTCTCACCACCCACTCAGTAAAGAACCCTTGGCAGATCCTTCCCATTACTCAAAATTGCCCATTACACAAAAGTGCCCATTTTCTATGTAAAACCTGTCTTTACCTTTCATGTCTTATTTTCCTGTTATACCTGTCTTTGTACCTTGGTATTCCTCATTTAACTTTGGGGACAGATGCATGGCCTAAAACACCATTACACACTAAAAGTATAATGTCTTCACCCTCCCTGCCCAATATGATTTTGCTAGACTGAACTGTGTGGAGTCTTTAATTCCCTGACTGGGCATTTTCTGCAGGTCCCAAAGACCTGTATGTGGCTAATTGTAGCAATTTCCCATCTCCAGGTAGTTTATAAAGGAATAGCATTCAGAAGAGTTCAGAATCTTGCCTAACATTCTGCTGTTGCTTTTTCAATCAGATTCTGAAGTGTTCATGTTCCAAATCTCAATTATTTTTGAATCTTACAAAGTGAACATGGCCTTTGTTTGTCATTTAGATGGGTAGCTACAGAACAAAATCAAGGGTATACATGTAAATTATACAAAGCTGGTTAATGAACAAGCAAATGTAACAGATAATAACCCATGCCCTGTGGCAGGCTGCTAGAGATCGGAAAGTGCTTTAGGTTCTCAGGCACACTTTACATGTATTTCAGGGGCAGTTGCTGTGGGCAGCGTCTCTACTAGCCCTTCCATTGACTGAGCATCCACTTGCAATTAATGTTGATGGACATTTCTTGATTTAGTTTCATTTGAGAAGAATTAAACTTTTCACACTCTGTTATAGTCTGAAAAAAAAAAAAACAAACCATAACAACCCAAAACAAAACAAAACAAAACAAACAAAAAAAAACAAAACAGAGGAAAAAAGTAAATAGGAGTCTTTCCAAGCTATGACAGGGCCCCAGCGTGTGATCACAGCAGGGATGCCTGGTGGGTTTTCATTTTTTATGCCTCTAGAGTTGTCCTGGCATAAAGGAAGCAAAATTGCAGAGGTTTAATGCATCTTTATATAGTTTATCTTTGGTTTGCTTTAATTCTTTTTTCTGATTAGTTGCTGATTCAGATTTATTCTGAACACTACATTCCAGTTCACTGCTTATAATAAAAAAGCATTAAAAAGTAAAACAACGCACAAAAAAGGGTTGCGAGGTGCATGGTCCCATAGAGCGGCCTTCGAGGGGCCGCCGCGCCACCGGCACGAAGCGCCACCTTCTGGCAGAGTTTGGATACTCCGGCTTGCCTTCCCAGCAGCGGCTTCCCGTTGCCTTGGCGACGCTTTGCGGTCAACAGGGCGGTAGAGGGATTCTCGTCGTCCCGCGAGGGCCTGACTAGGGGCGGTTGGGGGCTGCGGAGTTTCACGGCCGAGGGGTGGCCCGTCTCCGGAGTCAGCCAGGAAGGCGGACGCTTCGGTAGGAGATCGGCTGAAGGAGGGGTGAGTAGCTGCACAGAGTAGACCGAGGTGACTGGAGGGCTATGGGCTCCCGAGAGGGAGGACTACAGCCCCCAGCACGCAACGCAGCTACTTTGCGGTCATTCCGGGAAGCGGCGGCGGGCGGGCATCCTCCCTACCGCCATGGCTTCTGGGAGGTGTAGTTCCTCTCAAGAAGGACCTTCTTTGTACTAAACTTTACATCTGGAATGCGCTCTGCGTGTTCTTTCTCCTGTTCCAGGAGCCGGCGACGGACGAGGCTCGCTGGCTCTGATGGAGATGGTCTGGGCTGCCTCCCCTGCCCCCTGACTGGGGCTAGGAGTGAGGACTGGGGTGCGGGTTGCAGAGGGAGAGGGGGATAGCTGCGGACCCCTTCCCGTCCTGCCTGCATCCGTCTACAAGTCTTGTATGTACTTCTGTGGGTTAGTCTATTTCTCACTGCTTTTTCTGTATTCTTGCAACTTCATCGAATGCTTTCTGGGTTCTTAGTGTTATTTTGTAATTTTTAATATCAACTATATTTATATATATATTTAATTTGCAGCTATTAGGTTTGCGGGAAAAAAAAACAAACAAACAACAAAAAAAAACAAACAAACAAAAAAAACCACAAACCTTTGTGAGGCTTAGATCGTAGCACTGATACTGTCCACTAGGAGTAGAGAGCAGGCAGACTTTTTTAATATACAAATTTAGTAACACCTGCAGAATTTCGAGGGGGTGGCTGAGAGGAGAGTCTCATCACAAACAGTTTTCTTATTTGCTTGCTAGTATGGAGTGAAGTTCTCAGAACAAACTTCTGCTGTTCCTTTCATGTTTTAAGCCAACTGTTCAGCAAACACAGCTAAGCTTATGCTAAAAAAGCATCGTCCTTATTTTGTTTCATGCAGTGCTGAAAGTTAGTATTTTCCTTGTGCAGATTTGAAAGCAGA